CTAGTAAAGTATATAAAGTAGACTCTAATTATACAAGTACTTGGTTGTGTTTTTACTCAAATTATTAATTCAGTTGTTTGTTTTCTAGTAAAGTATATAAAGTAGACTCTAATTATAAAAGTATTTTGCTAGGGGTTTTTACTCAAATTATTAAGTCAGTTGTTTGTTTTCTAGTAAAGTATATAAAGTAGACTGTAGTTATGCAAGTTCTTGGTTGTGTTTTTTACTCAAATTATTGCACCTCATTTTGTTATTTTCTGTTTAAATGGCGGCCATGGATAAGATAAAGATTTTATTATAGTTCTTTCTTTTTCTTAGGTTTGAGGAAAGATGGTGGGTTAAATAACTAAATAACGTAAATAATAAATTTTAAAGGAGACCCAACCAAATACTCTTGCTGATTGTATTTATCTATATTCAATCTAATAAACCTAATTCAATAAGCTTAAAATTAGCCCGGCGGCATTTGTTGATTTTCGACAAAAAGTATTACCTGAAAATTTGGTTAAAGTAAAAGAAATGACAGGTCCCGTTATTGTTTTATCATTCCAACGTAGTAAATTCAGAACACTGAATAATAAAAGTTTACAGATATCTTTAGACTGTGAATATTAAGTTAGGTCAAAAGAGCACGTTTGAAGGTCACATTTGTTTATTGTTAGGCAACACGAAGTGATAATTATTTTGTTTTGCAATAATTTCATATTATGTGAAATCAGTATTTTTTCATTTTAAGGACTCAAAATTTATAAATCATCGAACATCTTTTAATATAGGTCAGTTGGCTTATAATGGTAGTTTCTGAGCTAATTATTAATTTTTCAACAGATACTGCAACATATGTAACGTTTTTTGGTTTTATCTTGCTCCTGCCTTCTCAACCTTTACGAATGTATATGATCCCTCAGGTTGTACTAAATGGTTTCCATAAATTTTAAAACTGAAAGTCAAAATAAATAAATCCTTCTTTGTTTATGTTTATAAAATAAATGTTTGCGCGTAACTCACACATCTGATTTCCGTCAAAACATTTTATGAAGCTAGGATATATATATAGTGAAACAGGATAGTATACGACATATTGGTATTTATGTTACCAGCAATTTCTTGATTTCGAACATTTTTTTCATCTATGTTATTTGAAATCGATATTAAAGGAACTGCGCTTATATATTTCTTCTTTATAATCGTTTTCTCTAACTTTTTCGACTCGAGCTCATAATGACGCCGGTCCTGTACCGTACGAGGGGGCGCTCTACTACAGCTTGCCAGCTGCCCAGACCGCATGCGTCACTACTCCTGGAGCATCAGAAGTCTCGTGCAGTGTCTCATTCAGGAATCTGCCAGCAGCACAAACAGGTCATTTGTCAGCTGCCGGTGTAACTTGCGGGACTGTGGGCTTCAAACCATATTACATAAAGCATGAACTACTGACGGATCAGGACTCAGTATGACGGAAACTGTTCTTGTTGCCGATCCAAGTCGGGAGAACCATACTTTGTCACCTGAAGTGTCAAACGTAAGCGTGACGGGGCTGACAGAACAGCCGGAATCATGGGAGAATGTTGTTTCTGTAGTAATTAAAACGTGTGTTATGTGTATAATCATGGTTGCTGCGGTGTCTGGGAACTCACTTGTGATTGTTAGCGTATTCCGACATCACAAACTCCGGATCACCACAAACTATTTCATCATGTCCTTGGCTTTCGCCGATACTCTAGTTGCTCTCCTGGCCATGACTTTCAATGCTAGTATTAAGATTGCAGGACGTTGGGCTTTTGATCAGACTACATGCGATATTTGGAACTCTTGCGACGTACTTTTCAGCACAGCGTCCATCATGCATCTCTGCTGTATCAGTGTGGACCGGTACTACGCTATAATCAGACCATTAGAGTACCCAACCAAGATAACCAATAGAACTGTAGCTATCATGCTAGCTTGTGTGTGGGTGTCCTCCGCACTGATTTCCTTCATTCCCATCTTCCTGGGATGGTACACCACGTCAGATCACATGGAGTACCGTAAGCTGCATCCTGAAGCATGTGACTTCGTAGTCAATAAACCTTATGCTATCATCTCTTCCAGCGTTTCGTTTTGGATCCCATGTTTCATAATGCTCTTCACTTACTGGAAGATCTATTTGGAGGCTAACAGACAAGAACGGATGATCTATCGTTCTCAGCTGGGACCAGAAATGTTGCCGCCCCCTGTTAACACTCGGGCAAGCACTGATCAAACTTCCCTCAGTCTGCAAGCAAACCATAACCACCACCTTCACAGGAACTCACAGTGTGATGATCCTGAAAGCGGTCACTCAACCCCAACCAGAAGGAACATTAGCAGGATGAAGAGGGAACACAAGGCGGCTAAAACATTAGGAATAATCATGGGAGCCTTCATCTTGTGTTGGCTACCGTTCTTCTTATGGTATGTGACTACAACCATGTGTGGAGAGGCCTGTTCATGCCCGGATATTGTAGTGGATATTGTCTTCTGGATAGGCTACTTTAACTCTTCACTCAATCCTGTCATCTATGCTTACTTCAATCGTGACTTTCGAGAAGCCTTCAAAGATACCCTATACGCAGTCTTCTGTGCGTGTTTCCGGTCAGAATGGAAGGCCAAACAGAGGCAAAACAACGCCATACAATTTAACTGCACATATAGGTCATCGTAGAACAATGTGCGACAGAAGAGAGATACTTTCGTCTCCAGTGGTCAATAAATTTTCTAGGTATGTATTCTCTTATTGAAATAGTTAGTATGTAAAATAATTATTTTTGTTTTGAGAATTAGCTTGCACGTGGACATTGTTCTTGATTGTAGAGAGGCTGACTTCTAATTATACATATAAGATTTTGTATTTTGATCAATTTATGAAATTTTTTCATGCCTTTATTTTAAAAATTTACATCTTAAAGCAAAATTGAAGAAAAATGCATCTTTAATATAAACAAAACATTTTTAATTAAAAGAACTAAAGAGAAAAAAAATAAAACTTTAAAATGCATGATATATATTTTCCTGTCGTTTCTTTACATAGGAATATATATAGAAAACAAAGTTTCAGTTATGATTTTCCCTCACATTTGAACTATCAAACTTCACGTAATAAAAACATCTGCGACAAAAAGTTACACTTAGTTCCATTAATTATTGCGTCACAGAAAGAAGACGAAATAGAGGATATCTCCTTCGTAAACCTTTTACTCGCTACAAGAAATACTTGCCATTTCAAGGCTATATATAAGAAACCTATCTTCCATAATACACGCCCGAATTCAAAACACATTGAACTCTACGTTAATCGAACTTCAACCGCCCCTAGACATTTGTTTAACTCTTTATGATGTAGGGTATGTAAAGAGTTTACACTGTCTATACAGTTCTATAAGGAATTATCCAAAAACGATTTTACTTGTTTCGAAGTTCGTTCATCCTAGATCTACTATAGAAATCTGACTGAGATATATATTTTGAACACTTATTAAATTAATTAAAATTATAAGTGTCTCTCTTGATTTGTTGTTTTAATGAAATATATGATATATGATGTGATATATTATGTGGTCAATAATTCAAAAATAATTGTCTATAAACATTCTTTCTATAAGCGGGTATACAAGTTAAAACTGTATTTATTTTTTTTTCTTTTTCCAACACCAGTCTAAAACGTATAAGCGGTGATTTTTATTATTTCAAGTATATTATGTTTAGCTCACTGCTAATACTTTTTACTTGTTTCAAACATGACAGTAGTCCGACAAAACAGTTTTATCTACAGATTCAGTTCGTACAGATGACGTCTATAGGTAAATCAATAGAAAACATGTGGGTCTACAAATGCCATTCACTAGAAGAGCCTAGTCCCACGCAAAACTATTCTAGAAAAAGGGGCGGAGCAGGATATTAGCATAAAACTAACAATTTCACTATTATTAATATCTATTTGGTTTTGGAAAATTTTATTTTAAGCTTCTTTTTTTTGAACAACTGTGCTTGTGAACGGGTTTATTCTAAGAGACTTGGAGGAGACTGCTCCAGAACAAAGTCACAATAAGGCTAAACAAAAACAACGAATATTTTAAACAAAACGTCAACGTCATGTTCAAAACACGCTTGCTTGAACAAACGACAAGTGAACAATAATTCACTCTGTTTCTGTGATTTTAAACCATAATATGACATCATAAGCTCTAACGACTTGACCAGGTTTTTCATGACAGAAATTTTACCATTAATCCTTTAGAAATAAACATTGTTAGATGTGGAAATGGGCATTATCCAACATTTATTATTTATTAAGTCATTTCAAAGTATGTAGACATTACAACTTGATTCTCGTTTCGGCAATAAACTGGTATAATTGCTTAGTTAATGATGAAGCTTGGAAACTTTCTGTATTTTGAGACGAGTAGAGTTAGAAAACTTATAGTGTATATTATCCCTTTCTATTATATTCTGTATTTCCTGTCTGGTAAATATTCATTATGTTTTTTAAACGTTATTTTTAATGTTTTTATAATAAATATATTTATTTTATCCATTGGTTCTGTTTAAACAGTTTAGTAAGCCATTTATTTATGCAGTATGGCTCAGTTTCAATTGCCCATTTACACCATTTCCAGCTGCTCTTTTCTTAAAATTTGTATCATATCTGCAATGGTTATGGCTAATATAATCTGCAAATGCAGGTTAATTTGCCCTTTAATTAAATATGCAGTATATCTGCAACTAATCTTTTTTATCCTGTGAAGCTTTAATCATAACGGTTATGTTTATTTTGTTCGTTAAGTATACATTTTATTTGGGAGGTTGGAAACTTTTACCTCTTATGTGATTACTTTTTTTACACTGTCTAGAAAACTTTAGTCTAATCTGTAAATCGTTCTGTTTATCTTGTATAGTAAGCTTTTACTTTATCTGTAAAGTTTTTACTCTATCCATCAAACTATACCTATGCCTTATTTACAATATTTTTTATCAATTAAAATGAATAATATATGCAAAGCTTTTTTATATCAAATATCGAGAGAAGAGTAAAAGTAGCTTTCATTTGATATTATTTCTCTTACAATACTTTTATCAGTTTCTGTGACTCTTACTTCAGTTTGTACAATCGCATGAGGGTAGTTTCTAAACTACAGGATATTTATTACTTAATTCTAGCAAGTTTTACAGACGTGGTTTGATTACTTGCACACAGTCGTTTTTCAGTTCATTCAATACATTTTAAAAGTTATATATTTAAATTTTAATTCACAACTTAAAAACCTTAACTTTAACTTTAAAACATAGTTGGAGTTCACTTTCAATTGAAGCTTTCCTAAATTTTAGTAAAATTATAAGTAGATTCACGTGTTGCAAAGAATTTCAACTTTTATTATAAAAAGGCGTAATCTAAACCTTCTAGAACTTTCACCGCATAGAAAGAATAATTTCAATTAATACCATATTTCTCTAAATATCCACAAAATTGAGGGCTTAAAACATTGTGAAATTAAGTTAATAATTTTTGAGTTTAGTGTATGTTTCAAATTCTAAGAAATTATAAGAATCATTGTAGAAGCAAACTTAACCCATAGGCACAAATAATTCATCACATTTTTTCAGAGTACAAGGACTTTTTAAGATTTATCTTTTTTTTTAAGCAATTGATTTCTCATCCTCTTTGCCTGTGTTTCTTTACCAGTAAAATTGGAACTTGTCAGTTGTGTTTTTGTTTGTTTTTTGTTTCATAACGCTTACTAGATCCGGTTTACTTATGCTTTTACTTTTAGTTTTTTTATTTCACTCGTCCTTGAAATAAAGCAACGTTTACACGTAACACAATTGTTCAATGAATTTCAAGTCTTATGGAGAGCTTTTCTGGTTATTCGGTGATATTAAGTTTAATGAAGTAATGACCTGTTCCTTCTCAACGTCTTTTCGTAAAATAAAAAATAATTAAGAATATTCTTTCAATAAGACTCAATTAATTATAGTGTAAAATTGTCGTTTACCTCCTTGCCCGTTCAACGACTAGATTTCAAAGTGGAAAGAAGGTCTAAGAAGTTCTTATACTTGTTTTCTTTGCCTATAATATTTGATTATAAGGTGTGGGGTCGCTTTTAGATGGAGGGTGTGAGGACCACGATCGCAATGTGATCTATGGCCTCCAGAGCCGGAAGCTATCAAAAATGCGTGACAAAGTAGGGAATTTCTAATGCAATACCTAAAGAGAAATGACGTAGGTATGTAATTTTCCCAAGATTAAGTTAAAGGCGAGAGCTCCACTTGCTCTGAGTAGAAAAATATCTTTAACTGGCCGCGGGTGAGTTCTTTCTTCACGCTCACTAAATTTTATTGAGGGCATGACGCAAGCTATTCGACAACACAAAAACTTGTAAACCATTAAAATAATACTTAGTCGTTTGCAGCAACTCCTAGTTGAGAAAAGTATGAGTATGTAAAACTAGTTTAAAAACTAACATGAACTGAGGATTTAGTACATGTTTAGTGATTACAAAATCTGTTATGAAAATTAGTGATGAATACCGTCGTTGATAAGAAACAAGCAGTTAAATTATAACAGCAAATAACAATAATATTAACCTTAAAATATAAAGAGGAAACAAAGAAGAAAATATGTGTTTTTCTTGTACTTCTTTAAAATGTACTTAATAAGGTTTCAAGGAAGTTTTAATGAAAGTAGTAGTTTTCGTTTTGACAAAATAAAAACGTATTTGCAGTAAAACCAGTACATTCGTCTTCAAAATATTAGAACCTAATTAGTATGTATCATTCAATTTTCGAGTTTCGAGATGACAGATGTAGTATTCAGAATCTTAATATCAAACTCTAAGATTACTTTTCATGATCAAACTAGTAAGAATAATGCAAAATCAAAGTAAAAATAATATTACATTCGTGACCAAAGTCTTAGTACTAAACGATAATACTGAAGAAAAATAGTGAACTATTCGAAAGCGCTCGAGTCTGTTTGAAAACCAAGAAACGTAGTGTAGTATTATTAAATAGAAAACAAATATACTAACATTCAAACCTGAATGCAACTACGGATTTAATAGCTTAGTGCCACTGCTACAATAAAACTGATATAACTTGTTCATTTGTTTTTATTGAAATAAGCGTTCAGAACGACTACAGACACTGTCATGTTTTATTGATTACCATATTGGATCCGAAAGTTCGTTATAATAAATGTAGCTTGTCGTGTAGGTATCCTGTTTATTGTCTGAGTAATATTTATAAACATATTATTAGTTTTACAAAATATTTAGCTTTTTTACCCGTTGTGAGAACACCAGTACTAATCTTTGAATGTTAACTGATATCAAAAGTTATTTTATAATCATATGTTAGTTGTTAATAATTTATTTTAGACTACGAAATTAATATACTGTTTACGTGTTTCTGTCTCACTAATTAAAGGATACGAAGCAAATGAAAAGTGCCGGTTAGAGCGGCTGAGAAATTAATAGAATAACAGACAGTCGTACAACTTGTTCCTCACGATTGTCACTATCAGCGGTGGTTAAAAATAGGCAGTAGTATCTCAAACAGATGTGTTTCAATGTCTACTAGCTCGGAAAGTAAAGGAACAATTGGTGTCCTACTTTTACGACTCCTCGGATCCTGCCCAATCAGTGGAAAGCTGCTATGCTGACAACGCTGCTTATCCATCGATTTTATAATGCAGCTTATTCCAACCTTAGCATAGGACCTCTCGGT